CAGTTTTTATTACTATCGATATGTTATATATACATAACATTTTCATCAGTATCAAAAAAGGCAATCATGAAGTAAATATGAACAATTAATGAGCTAATTATTTATAGGGAGTAACGTACTAGAAACCTAAACACTACATCGACTTATCAATATTAGCGCAAATCATAATTCTAACCATAAGCAGTCTATCTTTTCAGAATATTCAGAGTATATATTATAACTCCTATCAATCAAAATTTATTCACTTTTAACCTTCATTTCGATAAATGAAAAAACATGTACCATTACAAGCACAAATGCTATGTATTTCAAAAATTTTGTCAAAAAATATAAAACCATTTTTATTTGTATTTTCTATTAATCTAACAAAACATGACAAAGTCTAACAAATAATATTTTATAATATAACACATATTGTTAATGAATCTAGAGTTGATTTTCTGTAAAACATTATTTAATTAGAAAAATAAAACAACGAGTTGCCTCTAATGTCACTATAATATTGTAATATTTACTTCACATTTTTTTAGGCTTTTTAAGCCTTTGTCAGCAGAATTTATAAACCAAGATCATAGAATTTTTAATAGCTTGTCGATAAGTGGAGTGTTAACAATATTTTGTTCTTCATTAGTGTGTTTTTTTTTAATAAGTTTGAAGGACTTTTTAATCTCAAATAATTCCATCTTCTGGAATTACCATCTAATCTCCGACCTTTTCAGGTTGGCATAGTATCAAGGCAGTACAGTTTTATAAAATAGTCGATACCAAAACAAGACTGTAAAAAGTTGTATCTACTATAATATTGTAATGCAGCAGTCGTAGAAATCATACTTTTCATTTAAAAAACAATCCACTGTAGTTTACTTATTGTATACTATTAAGTACCTGTTGAAGACAATATTTGCCCTACAATATACATAACGGTAATGACAATCAAGCATCGGTGGGTTAATTTTGGTTGAAAATCATGCCTGGCAGGAACATTCAAAGGAGGGACAGTTCTGTGTGTTGATGTCAAAGGCAAAGTAAAAAATTACCAGAAAAAATTCATCAATACATTCCTACAACAGAAGTAAATTTGTGTGGTAGTTTGTTTGTTGTTTTTTTAATTTAATTACCCCATGGACTATCTAACACATGAACTGTTAACAACTGAAAAGAATTTCATAATTTTAGTAACATTCTATTGCTCTCTTGTGAGAAACATAATACTGTCGAAATAATTGTAGAATTTAATAAATAAATTCTTATCCTCTAACATTAAAAGGTTAATTTTATTTTGTTTCATAATAATAACAAACAGACGGATAAGCACCACTATTTTTTACACATTAAAAATCCAGTTTTTATTACTATCGATATGTTATATATACATAACATTTTCATCAGTATCAAAAAAGGCAATCATGAAGTAAATATGAACAATTAATGAGCTAATTATTTATAGGGAGTAACGTACTAGAAACCTAAACACTACATCGACTTATCAATATTAGCGCAAATCATAATTCTAACCATAAGCAGTCTATATTTTCAGAATATTCAGAGTATATATTATAACTCCTATCAATCAAAATTTATTCACTTTTAACCTTCATTTCGATAAATGAAAAAACATGTACCATTACAAGCACAAATGCTATGTATTTCAAAAATTTTGTCAAAAAATATAAAACCATTTTTATTTGTATTTTCTATTAATCTAACAAAACATGACAAAGTCTAACAAATAATATTTTATAATATAACACATATTGTTAATGAATCTAGAGTTGATTTTCTGTAAAACATTATTTAATTAGAAAAATAAAACAACGAAGTTGCCTTTAATGTCACTATAATATTGTAATATTTACTTCACATTTTTTTAGGCTTTTTAAGCCTTTGTCAGCAGAATTTATAAACCAAGATCATAGAATTTTTAATAGCTTGTCGATAAGTGGAGTGTTAACAATATTTTGTTCTTCATTAGTGTGTTTTTTTTTAATAAGTTTGAAGGACTTTTTAATCTCAAATAATTCCATCTTCTGGAATTACCATCTAATCTCCGACCTTTTCAGGTNATCTAACAAAACATGACAAAGTCTAACAAATAATATTTTATAATATAACACATATTGTTAATGAATCTAGAGTTGATTTTCTGTAAAACATTATTTAATTAGAAAAATAAAACAACGAGTTGCCTCTAATGTCACTATAATATTGTAATATTTACTTCACATTTTTTTAGGCTTTTTAAGCCTTTGTCAGCAGAATTTATAAACCAAGATCATAGAATTTTTAATAGCTTGTCGATAAGTGGAGTGTTAACAATATTTTGTTCTTCATTAGTGTGTTTTTTTTTAATAAGTTTGAAGGACTTTTTAATCTCAAATAATTCCATCTTCTGGAATTACCATCTAATCTCCGACCTTTTCAGGTTGGCATAGTATCAAGGCAGTATAGTTTTATAAAATAGTCGATACCAAAACAAGACTGTAAAAAGTTGTATCTACTATAATATTGTAATGCAGCAGTCGTAGAAATCATACTTTTCATTTAAAAAACAATCCACTGTAGTTTACTTATTGTTTCTATTACAAGTATTTATACAGTAAGTAGTTTTTTATGTTTCTTTTTAATAATTTTGATATAAAAGTATTTAAAAATAGAAAATATTATTTAAGTCATTAGTACTGTATATATTAATTTAATTTCTAGCAATTTACGTATGATATGCCGGATGACCATATAAAACTAATTTTTTCTATCCCTCGGGAACAGTATTTTTTTCTGGATAAACGTTGAGTAATTAAAGTAACTAAAGGCGTGAAATCGTTACAACCAATACTCCCATTCGCATTAATAATGTTAGTTATGATTAATTGTTTATCTTCTTTAACATATTATAATGTATATCAATATCATATTTAAATTACACAATGTAGTCAATATCAACAATAGCCGGTAAATAAATTGTGATATACCACTTTTATACTATAAAATCTTCAATGAGTTGTTTATAATGCAAGATAAACATTGAACACTGCTTTTTATCGGGTATGGAAAATACCCGTATTTTAATTTTCAGGCTAGAAATAGAAAACGTTTAGGTCAAGTCGGTTATCTGCTTTCAGCTTTTCCATTCACATAATTAGTAATCAGTTGCATTCGAATAATGGTACAAGACACGCACAATTATTAGATTATTACTCATAAACTATTCAAATAATACGATTAATACTTATAAATATATTGTTTATTATGCATAAAAATTTAAAAAACTTGAAGAATAATATGGCGCCGGTTATAGATGGAATACAGGCGGAAATTCTAAAACATGGAGGACAAGAGGCTAGAGATATCGTATGTTTAAGCTAATTAGTCACATTTGCGAGTCGAGGAAGTCCCAGAAGATTATAAACGGAACGTAGAGTATTAATAAAACCCAAAAAGAGAGGCGCGGATAGGTGCGAGACATTTAGAACAATTAACTTAACATCCCATGCGTTAAAAATTCTTAATTGGAATTGTACAGAAGAGGACGGAAAAAAGAGCGGAAGAACTAACAGGGAAAGATCAATAGGGTTTACAAGAAATTGAGGAACGTGGAAGGCCATTCTAGCTTTATGGGTAACAATAGAGAAAACGACAGAAAAAAGAAAGAGTGCGTACATAGAATTTGTAAATTTAGAAGAAGCTTTTGACAATGTTAAATATACTTAAAAATGTAGGAATAAGCTACAAAGATAGAAGAGTGATACTTAGTTTGTACAAAGAGCAACAGGCAGTTATAGAGCTGGAACAGTAACGTAGGAAGTAAACATTAGAAAGGAAGTCAGACAGGGATGCACACTGTCACCGCTACTTTTTAATCTATACATCGAAGACGCGATTAATATCATTAAAGACAGTAGAACTGTAGAGATAGATATAGAGGGGCAAAATATTAGTATGCTTAGATTTGCAGATGATATAGCAGTATTAGCATCTAGCAAGGAGGAGTTAGTGATAGCTTTAAATAAAATGTGAGTAAAAAGTGTAATAAAATAAAATTATTAGTGAGAATGTTTTATTAAATACAATTAAACGTAAACAGAAATTATTTTGTAACATCTCCAAATTTTACATTGTTATATATGTATGTCTATAATAAAATGATGGCTACTTTCGTCCATGTGTGCACATCACATAAAAACTACTAACTAAATTTTGATAATTTGCTTCTTAGTTTTGTCTTCATTTCAAAAAATTTCACATCATTTCTGCTTACTGTCTAATTTATTAAAGTTTTGCTAGACCTGAACAATAGCAATACCTTTAATAATGGCTACGCGTGTTCTTTTGTCGCCGAGAAGAAGACGGTGGCGACTGAGTACGCCTGCATTGGAGAGGGAAAAAGTTTCTACTTCTGCCTCATCGTAAAGTAAGCAACACCCGCACATTATTTGCATGAGAGATTTAATGCTGTGCAGACTGCACTGTACAGTTTTGTATCGGCTGATCAAGTTGTGTGAAAAAGTATTGTCAAAATAAAATATTTTTAATTGAAGTTACTGTTACCAAAACCGACCTTGTTGAAGCAGGATAGTCGGTGTTTAACTTATACCCGCTTCTGCTGTACACCAACTTAATATTGTACAGCTAGTTGATGATTTTTCTTTTAATAAAATTTACACCTTTTTTTACTAGTTTTATTATTAAAGGATCGAGACAAATTCACAATTAAAAATATGTACAACTAATGTAACTTAAATAACTAATTGCGTTGTATTGAGAACCGTGCTTACTGATGTATATTGATGAACTCTGGTTAGAAAATTTCGGACATGTATTTAAATAAACGAGAAAGAGAAGAACAATTTAAGATAGATAGAAATAGAATTAGAAACTAGTATGAAAAAATTTACAGCAAATGACTACATCTTAGGTAAATGTAATAAGTACAATTGAAAAGGTTATGAGAGGAAAATACGGCCCTAATATGATTTTAACGATGACATTCAGGTAAACATTGAATAGTTTGTTATTGTATTGTAAATTCCACGAGAAGATTCAAATTGCAATATGAAGGATAATGTAGATTAAGATGCAAAGAATATACAGTTAAAACCAAAAACAATCGAATAAGATTAAAAATTATCAAACCATCTACTTAAATATGTACAATTAAATAAAAACCATAATTATAACAAAAAAAACAACGTTTCGGCGAATAGCGACGGAACAGACCTCTAGGATTTCATTTTTAATTATTAATACTCTTTTTGAGAATTTGAATTTATTCGTAGTTTTTTTTTTTGTACCAGCAGAGAAGGCATGAAAGAAAAAGCTATTTCTAAATTTTTTTAAAACTATTTTTGTTGCATCTATTATGATATTTATTGAAAGGTACATTCAAATAGGGTAGATTATCTCAACGTTTCTAATAAATGTCTTTTACATTTATGGATTTCTTATCGTCGTAATAAATGTCGGCGGTATATTAAATTAATGGCTTCAAATAAAGGAGGGATGGTTTTGTATGCCTACTGTCACGTACCTTTATACAAGAAACTCGTACAAATTGAACGATGATTTGAATTGGTGAATAATTTGATTAGATATTTGATTAACGCGTTTGAAGAACCTGCTTTGATATTTAGAAATCTGAATACAATAGCGGTAGGTAATTACTTTATTGTTAAAATTTGTTGTATTCGGTATTCCAATATGTACGTAGTTGTACTAAGCTGCGAGGTGCCTTTATTACGAAAAAGATGGTCGAAATCTGTTTAAACATAATCAAGATATTATACTCTCTTCCATTGTTTTTTCTTGTTTTTTTGAAACTACACGGGGTGGTTTAAAAATAATAAAGCATATACGTAGGGTAACTGGGTAACTAGCAGTTAAAGATCTCGATCTTCATCCTCATAGTGTCGTTAGTCCTAAAACCGGTTAGATATTACATTTATTATGCTTTTGAAAATACCACAAATGGCGTGGTGAGCGCCATCTGTAGTACGATGCTACATTTGAGGATTACGTATGCTCCAACAAGGTCCATTTCAAAATATGGATATCTACTTGCTGAAACGAATCCCGGCGTAGCTCACCTCAACGTGATAGGCACGTTACCATAATTGAACAAAATAATTCGAAGTGGTCTGTATTCTGTCGAAACTGCCAGACGCGGATCGCGATTTCGATCTTTTTGGATCTCATCAGCGCGTCGCAGGCAGCTCCGACAGAACACAGACCAACTTTTACCTGCTGTCTTAACAGTGCGTTTTAGAAAATACCACAAATGGCGCAGTAAACGCCATCTGTAGCACGATGCTACATTTTAGGATTACGTATGCTCCAACAAGGTCCACTTGTGTGGATATCTACTTGCTGAAAACGAATCCCGGCGTAGCCAACCTCAACGTGATAGGCACGTTAGCTTAATCGAATAAAATAATTCGAAGTGGTCTGTATTCTGTCGAAACTGCCAGACGCGGATCGCGATTTCGATCTTTTTGGATCTCATCAGCGCGTCGCAGGCAGCTCCGACAGAACACAGACCAACTTTTACCTGCTGTCTTAACAGTGCGTTTTAGAAAATACTACAAATGGCGCAGTAAACGCCATCTGTAGCACGATGCTACATTTTAGGATTACGTATGCTCCAACAAGGTCCACTTGTGTGGATATCTACTTGCTGAAAACGAATCCCGGCGTAGCCAACCTCAACGTGATAGGCACGTTAGCTTAATCGAATAAAATAATTCGAAGTGGTCTGTATTCTGTCGAAACTGCCAGACGCGGATCGCGATTTCGATCTTTTTGGATCTCATCAGCGCGTCGCAGGCAGCTCCGACAGAACACAGACCAACTTTTACCTGCTGTCTTAACAGTGCGTTTTAGAAAATACTACAAATGGCGCAGTAAACGCCATCTGTAGCACGATGCTACATTTTAGGATTACGTATGCTCCAACAAGGTCCACTTGTGTGGATATCTACTTGCTGAAAACGAATCCCGGCGTAGCCAACCTCAACGTGATAGGCACGTTAGCTTAATCGAATAAAATAATTCGAAGTGGTCTGTATTCTGTCGAAACTGCCAGACGCGGATCGCGATTTCGATCTTTTTGGATCTCATCAGCGCGTCGCAGGCAGCTCCGACAGAACACAGACCAACTTTTACCTGCTGTCTTAACAGTGCGTTTTAGAAAATACTACAAATGGCGCAGTAAACGCCATCTGTAGCACGATGCTACATTTTAGGATTACGTATGCTCCAACAAGGTCCACTTGTGTGGATATCTACTTGCTGAAAACGAATCCCGGCGTAGCCAACCTCAACGTGATAGGCACGTTAGCTTAATCGAATAAAATAATTCGAAGTGGTCTGTATTCTGTCGAAACTGCCAGACGCGGATCGCGATTTCGATCTTTTTGGATCTCATCAGCGCGTCGCAGGCAGCTCCGACAGAACACAGACCAACTTTTACCTGCTGTCTTAACAGTGCGTTTTAGAAAATACTACAAATGGCGCAGTAAACGCCATCTGTAGCACGATGCTACATTTTAGGATTACGTATGCTCCAACAAGGTCCACTTGTGTGGA